TGATGTGCTTTGCAGATGGGTGATTTGCTGTCACGCTGTTAACAGGACAGAACTCAGAAGGACTGTGGGAAGTTAGAAGGGAAGACGTACGAGAAATTACTCAGAAACAGTGGGTATGTGAGCAACCCAGCTGACATCTAAGATTACTTTAGGTGCTAGAAATATATTTTCTTTCCTCATTAAGGATGCTGAATAGATTTTCAGTCTTGGCTGAAAAAAATCACCAAAGGAATATAGGCAATTTTTGCTGATGAGCTTTGTTTTTTGTGGCTTGGTACAATAGGTTATCTTGGGGGTGGGGAGTTACTGTGGCTTGAAGTTTTTTGTGTTTATATAAGGCATCTAGGTACATGGATAGAAAAAAGCTAGTAACAGTTCTGTTATTCATGCTCTTGTAAATTAAGTACTTTAGGGAAGGAGTAAGCCTATTCCTGGTTTATCGTGAATGACCAAGATCCCTGTTTTACATTGAATAATGTAAACACCTCTGATGGCTTGTTCCTGACCAAAAGAAATCAGAGGGGAAGTACATGGATAAATGGAAACAGCCAAGAAAAGCTTATTGAATCATTCTGAGCTGAACAATTGTTTCACTTGCTGCCTGTCTCCATTCAGGCCCCTGGCACTGCAGGACCGTGGGTCATGTGCTGGGAAGCCTTGCTGTTTGTCCTGGCTTGTCAAAACAATTTAATGTAGGTGGAAAGGAATGAGTGAAATGAACAGAGTGGGCTTGTTGCATCTGCTTCAGTTTGTTTGAAGGGCAGCCCAGTGATTGGGATGTGACACTTACGGCCTCCAGGGAAGCCATCAGTTCAGAAAGAATAATGCTGGCCTTTTTATGGGATAGTTAAGTCCATTTTAGGAAGCAAGCTCTCCTACAGTTTGTCAGCTTTGTATATTTTTGGATATTTGGGCAGTGTCTGCTCAGCACGTGCTGACTGAGATACAAGAATGTGAGTTGCGAACTTCTAGTCTTAGGACTTTGTCTTGTCTGCCTGATGTTGCTTCATTATGGTGAAAAAAGACAGGTGAGGAGAGAGGGTGTCTGTTTCTTATTTTTCCTGATAGGAATTTAAAAAAAAAAATTGCTCTTTGAAGTATAGGATACCAAGCCATATATTAACTGTTCTTAAAGTGTTTGCTTCTTTAGAAAATTGTTCAAGTTTCCCAAGCTTATGAAAAAGCATCGTATGTGTCTTTCTATTTTGTTTTGTTTTGGGCTGATTGAATTAAAAATAAAAATCAAAGGAAACATTAAATTTGGTTAACCAGTCTTGCACTTTGTGATACTGGAATGTTAAACTGCGAAACCTCTATTTTTGATTCTGGATGAAAACGGCAAATACATGCTGAAATGATCCATCTGTATATCTATTTAGACTGTGAGTTGCAGGAAAAAGGCTTCAGGGGACAGATCTGTTTATTTGATTCATCCTTGAGATAATTTAATCAAATGGAGTGCTTATTTTGAATGATATGCCACAAACTTTTTGCTACTACTTTAGAGGTGGTGGTAGAGCTGGGGGGTTTTTATTCCTGCAGGTTCCTACTCAAAGGCCACAGTGGAATCCAAGGATTGCCCCAAGAAGCTGCCTTGTTAGAAAGACACATCTGGGCTTTGGAGTCTCTTGGAGTGTAAACTTATAACTGAGGACTGTGAAAGGCGTCCCTCTCCCAAATTCTTGAAAAAGGCCCTTTTAGATTCTCGCTAAGTGTTGATGGCTTCTTTCTCTCTGCTGCTGTACAGCACGTTTTTGTATGGATTTCATGTGATACCAAGATATTCTCATTCCCCTGCCTTTCCCCAGGTATTCATACCTAGCATGTCTGGTAACACCATTTCTCAGTCTCCTAAATTACATATGGTGCTCTATTTTCTTGCTTAGCTCAATATTTTAGTAGCTGCAGCTGCTTAAATTACATCTTTGTGCAAGAAAGAGCATGAAGTTGTCAGATTTGTCCATACTAACAGCTCAAAGGATGCCAAAATGTAGTATTTGGGTTGGGCCTTGTTCTAGTCTGTCTCTGTGCAGTCTGGGAGATCTTACGGCCTAACATATTTTAAGGTTCTAGTGTATGGAATACTCAAGTTTTGAAAGTGTACTTATGATGTTTTTTTAATTCACCTGTTAACCTGTAGGCCAACTCATTGCAGGTTGCGTTAGAGCGTAGTTCGTACAAATACAGCCTGTCATTGTGTATACAGATTCATTTTGTTGGTGTAATTGTACATGAGAGCTAATATTTTTATGAATGCTGGAGGGTTTTTTTAAGTATATTCACTCTTTTCAGTTACCTAGCATTAATGTTCCTTCAAGGGAAGAAATGTGAAGAACTGTTACGGATGGCTGTATGGGTTATGTGTCCAAGGGAATGAGGGTGGTTAAAGGCAGTATGCATCGCTAGTCTTATGAAACAAGCGGCCTCCCTGTCTTTTTCTTACAGCTCTGTTTAATGTTCACTTGTGCTGCTGCAGTATGCTGCTGAAGGGTGCGATGTTTCCTTGGCTGCAAAAACATAGCTGTCCTCCCTGGGTGAAATTTGTTGGCCTGTGTTTGTGTCCAAGCTTGTCCCAGATCATTAGGGCACTGTGACTTTCAAAGAAGTGTTGAATTACTTCGTATATTGTCTCTGTCTTCCTGGTTTTTTTTCCTTAATGCCGGCACTGAAGTGTGGAGTGGCTGTTTTAAATGTCACAGATACGTTTGCAGGAACGTGATGCTACCACTGATGTGATCAGAAAGAGAAGTGAGTCAAACTAGGCATGCCCGTTAAGAGTCTGCTCATTGATAAGAGTGATTAGCACTTGTCAGTTTTTACTTGGGGCTAGCAGCACAGTGGTAGGGAAAACTGAAGAAGGCCCTGAAGGGAGATTAGGTTTGCATAGATTAAGATGAGAACTTAATGTCAAGTGTAGTCTAAAACTGGTTAGTACTGGTTGTGGTGGATGACTTGTTAGAATGCATGAAATAAAGGAAATGTAATCCAAATGTGTATCCGAAATCTAGGTTTTGGACAAAAATCAATGCAGGTGTTCATAGAACAGCTAAATTTAAAAGTGACATAAAAGTAATTGTTGCAGCCTTGTTTCTGTGATTACTATATATAATTGGATTTACAGCTATATACTAGTTTTAAAATGTGGATTATATAGATCAAGGGCAGAGGCAGAGAAGCCTCTGCTTTATTTTACTGTAAGAATGAGTGTGTTATTGTGATTTTTGTGTTGCTTGAAGCATGGAGTGTTTCTTAGAAGCATGTGTGCGTGGTCTGACTGAGGTACCCATTGCAGCTTACTGCTTTGCTGTATCAGGCGTTCGTAGCAGTCAGCTGATTTTGAACCGAACTTGTGCTGCACTGTTTATTGCAATGAAAGGAAAGCTATTAGATGGGTAAGACAGCTCAAATGGAAGTGTTCCTTCCATATGAAGAAACCCCAACACCTAAGCAGACATGAAAACTTAGTTTGCAGGGTGTTTCTGCAAACATGTTATCATGAAATTTGTTTGTGCAAGTATGCGTATGAAAGGGTGAGAAGAGGTGGTACTGCTAATTTTTGCAGAGTGAAATAGTTTCAGGATTGAATGCTTTTGACATCTACAGACTGAATTTATGAGGAATCTGTCTAAGAACTGTAAAAGCACGTGTGTGACATTGACAGGCACGGATAAGGTACTGTTTCCTGAGTTAATTTCAAACCCGTTTTCAAACTTTCACCTGGAAGACTTTTAGATCTCTGAATATTGGAGCTTCATCTGGAAACGAATTTTGTCTATGCTCAAAGATACTGTGTGAACATCTTAGAAAAACTTAATGATCTAAGTGGATATAGGATGGTTTAGATAGTAGCGTGACCGAGTGGTGCTGAGAAAACGCATTACCTGTAACGAGAGGGAAGAGGAATCACTGCCTGGAGGACAGTGGGAGACTGTGAGCAGTATAAGTAAACCCTGCATGTTTTTACTACCTCCTTGTAATTGAAAAGGAAATATGAAGTGACTTAAAATTATTACTCAAATTTGACAAAGGTCACGAGTTATTCCTAAATAACTGTTATAAACAATGATTCTAAAATTCTGGGCTTTAAGCATATCCTGAAATGTTGTGGGTTTCTTTTTTAATACAAACTGCATATGGATCCAATTTAAAGTCAGTCGATCTGACTGGTGTGTGACCAATGCGTTGGTAAACTGACAACACCGAGTGACACAAGGAGGCTGTTTTCTGTTGAGATCTGCAGCCTTATTCTGGTAGTAACTGGTTAAAGTCTTGATGATACCGGGTAGCCAGTTGTTGATAGGTAATAAAAGAATATTGTCGAGGAATGCTTTTTCATGATCTGTCTCTGGCCAAAAGATTGCTTTCTGTCTCTAGTGTGAGTTATGTTTTTGTTTTCCTTGATGCTAGATCACAGGAAGCTTGTTCGATCATGAGGTTATGCTTTTAATCAAAGAAAATCCAACTCATTCACTTGTTCTTCTACAGTTAGAAGTACATACTATATGTCAGTTTGATGCTTTACCCCTTTTACGGAGGGTTAATCCAATCTTTTACTAGTGGTCTGGATATTATACACATAGGATAACTAAAGATTATTATGTACAACCCGAGAGATGCTTTAAATGATCCAATTTTGTCTACTCGTGAGCACTTGAATATTTGAGGACCTTGTGTCCCCCCATTCCACCTGAAGTCAGGCAATGACTAAATCAGAGGAGGAAGAAATGGGAAGAAGGGATAATCAAACCAAACAATTTGGTGATTCTCACATTTCTTACCTCTGAGAGCAATCGGGTTGTAAGGAAAAGTATGTGAGAAAAAAGACTCTAATAGATTGTCTTCTAAATAGAGTATTTAAAGGTAATTGCAAACAGAATGGCACCGAAGACTACTGATTCTTACTTGTTCACCAACTGTACCCAACTGTTTTTCAAGTTGCTGCTTCTTGGAGTAAGTAATAAAGCAAAGCTTTCTGATGTACCTTTTTTTTTTTCCAATAGGATCGGAAGCTGTCCAAGTCAGAGCGACAAAGATTTAAAGAAGAAGCTGGGATGCTGAAAGGGCTTCAGCATCCCAATATTGTCAGGTTCTATGATTCCTGGGAGTCTACAGTCAAAGGAAAAAAGTGTATTGTTCTTGTGACAGAACTCATGACATCTGGAACATTGAAAACGTAAGTAAATTAAGGCATGACAAAGCATATAGAAGTCATTGGCACAAAATCAGAGCGCTGGAAATAGAGCATATTTCAGAGTAGATAAGAACAGAGCCCTTTTGCCAAGAGCCATGGAAATTCTTATTTCAGAGGAGTCTCACCAGCACTGCAAGGGTATGACAGAAGATCCTTTAAGTTAGTGAGCTTGTCCTACTCTTGCTTGTGATGTTCTAGTAAGCACATGCAGAAAACTTTCAGATTTTGAGAGCTCAGGAGAAAAGACTCTATTTCCTCTTCTAAGTTGTCACTTTCCAGCTGCCTTTCATTTAGCGTAAGCTGGGTTGTAAAGTTCAAAGCACGCATGAACTCACAGAATCACAGAATCACAGAATAGTAGGGGTTGGAAGGGACCTCTGTGGGTCACCCAGTCCAACCCTCCTGCCGAAGCAGGGTCACCTACAGCAGGCTGCACAGGACCTTGTCCAGGTGGGTCTTGAATATCTCTAGAGAAGGAGACTCTAGAATATCTCTAGAGAAGGAAACTCACCTCTCTTGAGAGGTTTTGGGTGTTTCTGTAGTACAAATAATACCTAAAAAGAACAACCCATGCCACCTATTTGTTTAGCTGAACCTTGGTGAAGTAGTAATTAACAAAAATGTGAAAACCTGCGGCAGCAGAGCTTGGCCCGTGCTGAGGGCAGAGGCTGCTGCTGTGGGGGCCCTCGGGGGGGGATGCGCCCCGGTCGTGCCCACACCGGGGGAGCTGGTGGGGCTGCGGGCTGGCTCACCCGCACCCGGTCACCAGGCTGCTGGAAACGGAGGT